CAGGGAACTCGCATCTGTGGGCTAAAGCACAGGAGAGAAACCTTGATTGAATAGGCCAATAGAGCTAGCACTTTGCGGGGACAGATATTGGGGTCCCACTTCCTCCACTGTTTCTTGGTTTAATCATTGACTGAAATATGTGCAAACCATCTGAGAGCAGAACATCAGGCTCCTTCTGCCTATTCTCTTTCTAGACCCATGTGTGTGACTGTCCCTCTGGAGTGCACAGGGTCCTCTCCCTCACACCATGCCCTTTCACCAGATGAGGAAAACTCTTTCTTCAGGGGCAAGGTCTGTGATTTCAAACCTCCAAAGGCTAAGGTAAGCCCTGGTTTCCAGACCAGAGAAGTGCACTAAGGAGCCTGGCATGGGTACTATGCCATGATGCTAAGGATATCCATGGCTGAAGCGTTTCTAGGTGTTCGTGGTAGCATGACCTAAGGAAAGGCTCCTAAGGATCGTTTTCATCAGAGAACTTTAATCCTATGGTGACCTCAACACCTCAGAACTGAGGCTTTACTGCTCTCCTGAACATGGGCACCTGTTACTGAAGTTGCAGCCTGAGGCTTCAAAACATTATTTCAGTTATCTGTCTCCTCAGGTGGTTTTAGGTATCTCGGGGAAATGTTTACAAAAGCTCATTTTGGCCTAGGGAGGATAATTTCCTTCAGTTCTTCTATAGGCAGTGGAGGGGAGCGGGATCCTGCAGGGCAGCCCAACCCACCTACGCACATTCATGCCCCAACACTTGGCCGCACACATGGTCTGCACCTTTCCACCGGCTGTCATGGGATCCTGCAGCGTCAGATCCACCAAGTCACAGCTGGCCATTGGAAATCCCTGCAAATGCTGTTTTTGGCAATGATCTGAGCATACAGGCATTGCTTCTGGAAAGACAACTTAGGGTCCCTTAAAGGTGCTTGGGAGGAAGGTTGACAGTGGCACACCTTGCTCAGAGCTGGCACGCCCAGCAGCCCCGTCTCCCTTACCACTGGCTCATGCTCCTTCAGAAGCTGAGCTCTGGTCACCACTTCCCACCATGCTCAACAGAAACCTGGCAGATGCACAGCACAGATTGCAACAGACAGTCCTTATTCATCTCTATTTTCCCATATTAGTCTCTGCAGACCAATCAGAAACAGTTCACCAAACAAAGTTAAGCAATATCACAGAGAACTTTAAGAAATGACTCTTATCATCCCTCCTGAGGATAGGCTCAATGGTCAAGGCCACAGTGAAATCTTCCTTTTGTTGTAAAAGTTAACTGAAGTTAGTTATTAAAGTGCTGCTAATATTTAGGGAGGTTCTGAAATGAAGAACAGCACAAGATACCTGCACTGCCTCTGAAAATTTCAAGGATACCTTTTTCTATAAAATCTTGGTCTGGTTTCTTCTGAAGAGCTTCCTGGAATACATCAGGTATGATTTTGACTTGCCAGTCTGGGTATGGGATATGTGAAGTAATACTTATAAATGAAACACTTCTAGTCATGTGCTGTATTTCTTGTAAAATCTAAAAGGTTCTCTTGTGGAATTTGTTTGTATTTTTCAAATGTTTATCTTGCAGAGAAATAGTTTGTGAGCGTGTATACACAGATTGAAAAGTTGGTTGAAGCGTGTTAATATTTAATTATTCAGTTAAAGTTACCAGATTTTTGTGTACTACTGAGTCAATATTTAGAATAAATTAATAAAGGGAAAAAAGTATCCATTTGCTAATTCCCTCAACAAAATGACACACATCAAAATATGCATTACCAAAGGTTCACAGATGTGGGGGATTAACAGTGGAGTTGGAGTTTTTTATGTGTGAGAGAGGGTAATGCTGTTAATTGCTGGCCATGAGAACAGGATCAGAAGCCATATGGAATAAAACTAAACCAGAACGTTATCTCTGGGGTTTCAGTTCAGACCTAGCCTTGGTCAATAGTGAGTGAAAGTTGTTACCACTTGATAGCTGCGCGGTCTAAGTTTGGTCTGTGCTCCCGATCCCAATGTGTAGGTGGACACATTAGAGAAGTCGTCAGAAGAATTGCACTAATTGGTCATGTCCCACAAGGAGTCAAAGGACTTAATGATGGGAACGCTCTGGAAAGGCAACATGGGTGGCTGGTGTACAGACCTCTCTTTTAGGGGACTTGTGGAGAATGTTGGTAGTTGGCACAATATCCCATTTTCTTTAAAACACCTAAAATAAGTACTGGTGCTGACAGCCAAAAAAATGTCTCTATGCAGAGGGCATCCTATCTTTCTAAACACGTATGGGAAGAAAATGAGGGTGAGCGAGAGGAAGGCAGTTCTGACTGGAGACACAGTAGCTGATAGCGGCCAATAAAGCCCATGGAAGAGGGAACCATGAGAAAAGCTGGACTAGCGGGTGACTTGCGGGTCATCTAGCTGCAGCAAGGTGCCGTACCATATGGTCTCATTTACCCACCAGGAAACACCTGAAGCCACTTTACACCACACTTCAGGTGCTCAAGCTGGCTTGGTTAAACTTAACTTGAGTAATGCCACATGGCACCACAGTCTGTAAAACAGACTCATGCTCACATGGTTCGGCTTGGCGAGACCCTCGGGGCGAGGCTCCAGGACTCCTTCCGCAGCTCTAAGCGATCGAACCAAACCAGGAGGAGAGTTGGTAAATTTGGGCTCCTATCAGGAAGAAAAAAACACACGGAAAATACACCTTCAACAAGACCAGCACTAATAAACCAAAGTAGACCTGGAGAATTGTAAAGAGGCATCGTGTATGTTCCCTGAGATCGGGGCATTAAATTTGGCCCGAGGAAAAAATAAAGGCTGGGCAAGGGGCAGGAGTGACAACTAAAGTACTCGGAAAAGCTACAGCAGCTGCAGCACTGGGGAAAATCTGAAATGAAAGAGTAATCCATGCACTTCTTTTATTTTTATGGCTTTTTCAAAGGGTACAAATAGTACATCTTGTGCCCTACAAAGCAATGAAAAAAACTACTAAACAGGGCTTTCAGCAATATTCCTCTCTGCGACATGAAGTCTAGAAGACTGACAGACAGACTAGGAAACAGAGCAATTCTAAAATCTTTGATAGATTAAACTTCACCCTGCAAATCTAAGTACACGAAGATTTTCAGAGAAAGAACTAAATTAACCAAATATTTTCATTGAAATTTCATCAGCTTCGGATTTGGAGCTCTGATCCCAACAGAGGGAGGGATCGTAGTGTCCAATTACAGGATTGGAGTATGATTTTAGCTGACTTTGGGTCAGGGTGTTGAATGAGCTTAGATTTTGAGTATTTGTCTGTTAGAATAATTATCCACCAGTTTTTGGAAGATATTATAGATCTAATTTTTTAATGTTAAAACAAATAATAAAAATGTTTAACTCATTGCCTAAATAGTGAGTCCTTTAGGGAAAAATAGTATATCAACAAACCCAGCATATCTAAGAGGTTCATCTGACATTATTTGGACTTCCACACATCCATGAATCTCTCCAGAATGAACTAGGAGGAAACTAAAATGAAATCACCTGAAATAGGTTAATAATAGGCCCTGAGCTGTAGCAAAGTTTCAGGATGGGATTCACACTTTAATGCCAGAATTGTCAGAGATAAAAAGCTTTCCATCTGCTCATAACTATGCAGACTGCTTTGTGCCACTTGAAAATCAGTCCTGTGATATCTCCAAATATTGTATACACACAAGCCTGAATTAGAAATGCCTGTAGGCTATTTCAGCGTGAGTCAGGCAAGGACCCGGGCAAGGAGCTAGTGTTGGCTGAGCATCTCTCACGAGACCACCAGCAAGCACCAAGTCACTAAGGAGCGTCTGACAACACTATGGGAGAAAAAATGAAGACAAACACTCTATTATCAGTGTCACAAAAGACTTTTTGCATTCTACAGTACATCTTCACCTCTGAGTCAAAATAGAATAGAATAGAGCAGAGCAGAGCGGAGTAGAGTGAAGTAGAGTGGAGTAGAGTAGAATAGTTCAGCTGGAAGGGACCTACAGTGGTCATCTAGTCCAACGTTGACTACCAAGAACAAGTCCCTGTCTAGGACTAGTACTGTATTAAATATTTAATAGTGGCTACAGCAGAGAGAAATGCTTTTAGATAGGACATTTGTTTAGGTGAATTTAATGTGGGAAGAATGTGAGGCATTGAGAGAAACGTAACAGCAGAGTGGGCAGCACAGTGACGGCACCAATTAATTGCTGCAAAATACCCACCTTCTCGTGTGTAATGTGGGCTTCAGGGGTCATTTCTGGAGTGACTGAGGACAGTTTCTATTCATCACAAACACGTGAATATGGGTTGGGACATGGGAGAAAAAAGTATTGAGGTCAGACATTGCAACGACTGTTTGTGAGCATGACAATGTTTCCAGACAGCCTGTGGAAATAAATATTACAAGCAGCAACACCATGCTTTTTTACCACTGTGCTTAACCTCCCCGTTACACAGACCCAAGCCAAAAGGTTCAGCCCTGTCTCTGAGTCTAAGAGAGGGTGGCTGAGCCCTGCCTTGGCTCTGCCTTTCCCCTCATGTGTTGGTGGGTTCCAGCAAGCTCCCAACCCTCCTGGTGGTGCCACAAAGAGAAACTGCTTGGGATCTGCTTGTTTATTCATTAAGGAATGAGTCTCCCTTGGGGGAGGCAGTTTTTGGTTGTAGATGGCTGACTCAGAGATAAATTAACTCCAAATCCATCTTGTCCGCTTGTTGGCTGCATCTTTAGAAAGAAATACTTCATGCTCCAGCGAAACACTGCCCTGCAGTGGGAGGAGGAGCGGGGCAGGAGATCGCCTTGGCAAAGTGAAGTGCGTATCTCAGCCGTCTCTCTTTTGATCTTCAAAGGTGGTAACGCTCAGTTTGGAGTTCACCCATCTATGCTACTGCTACCCGCCCTACAGTACATAAGGAGCTAAACCCGTTCTTCATTTCAGGTTTTTAAGTGACTAAGGCCAGGGAGAAGCACACACGAGTCGCCATCCTTGCCTGACGTCTCAGGAGAAATGGTTGAACCTGTGGGCAACCACTATGTTGTAGCCAGACCTGTGTACTCGGAGAATTTGTTCAATGAAGAGCATGAGAAATTGCACAGATACCATAAAACCTTTTGGGATCACCTGAAACTCTGTTTTCGGTAAGGAGATTTTTAATTTTTTTAAAAATATGGATCTAAGAAACAGACTGAACTGCCACTCTCAGACAGCATGAACTCCATCCTGACAACTTCCATCTCAGATTCCAACAAAGCAAACAAGAACTCAATAAGCAAATGCAATTCCAGATTTTTCTAAAGAATTTTAGCTTCTATTACCCTTAAAACTCTTCCTACAGTTTTATCCCAGGCAGCTTCTCTTTTCCTGGGCACTTGGCAGCACAGATTCCAGGGACAGATTACTGTATCCTTTCGATACTTAAAGGGGGCTTATAAGAAAGATGGGGACAGACTTTTTAGCAGGGCCTGTTGCAACAGGACAAGGGGTAATGGTTTTAGACTAAAAGAGGGTAGATTTTGACTAGATCTAGGGAAGAAATTTTTCATCATGAGGGTCATGAAACACTGGCCCAGGTTGCCCAGAGAGGTGGTAGATGGCCCATCCCTGGAAACCTTCAAGGTCAGGTTGGATGGGGCTCTAAGCAACCTCATCTAGTTTAAGATGTCCCCGCTCATTGCAGGGTTTGGACTAGATGACCTTTGATGGTTCCTTTCAACCCAAACCATTCTATGATTCTATGATTCTACGAAAATTTCAGTTGGAAGGGACATCTGGAGACCATCAGGTCCTTCTTGAAGCACAGCTGGCAGAGCAGGTTGATCAGGGCTATGTCTGGGTGAGATTTTGACCTCTGGCAGCCTGAACCTGAATCCTTCCCCCTTCGTTTCCCCCCTGAAGACAGGCTGCGACTCAGCCAAGCTGTTCATTGACAGAGCTCTGTCCTCTTGTTTCTTTACAGCTGCTCCCCACAGAGGGTCAAAAAAACTGCCTTGGGTTTGTTTCCCATCGTCTCGTGGCTGCCAGCATACCGCTTCAGGGAGTGGGTCCTGAGCGACATCATCTCTGGCATCAACACGGGGCTCGTGGCTGTCCTGCAAGGTACCTCCGGGAGGCGTGTGCTCTGACGCCATGCCGGGTGCTGAGGGACTGCCGGCTTCAGCGTGCGACACGCTCATCACCCTGCCCGGGCCTCTGTCCTTGCAGGTCTCGCCTTCGCTTTGCTTGTGAACGTTCCCCCCGGTTATGGACTCTACGCAGCATTTTTCCCCGTTCTGGTCTATTTTATCTTTGGCACATCTAGACATATCTCAGTGGGTAAGTTCCGGCACACCGACCAACCGCCTCACTGAAGAAGTACACGCTGCCCTTTCGGGTCTCTAACGAACGCCTTGTGCTGCTCAGGTCCCTTCCCCGTCCTGAGCCTGATGGTGGGAGCAGCCGTCGTCAGGCTGGTCCCCGATGACAGTGCTGGAAACGGCACTTCCACGAATACCTCAGCAATAAATGAGGAGAGGGTGATGGTGGCTGCATCTGTTACCTTTCTTTCCGGGGTTTTTCAGGTTGGTAAACATGTGTGTGTGTGCCCGCACACCTCTATGTGCCCATACATGAATAGATGGGTGGTGGACTGGCCTTCCCCGTTGTTTTCTGCTGGTGTAGTCTCCAAAGTAATTCTCTTCCCCTTCCCATGCAACTGACCTTGGCTCGCTGATGAGGAGACATCCGCCCCCCTCCAGCAGGGACCAGCCACTGATTCACGCTGTGGAATCCCTGGTTTTGCCCAGAACTGAGCCCACAGCCCGCACAGGTGCACCCCACCTACAGCAAAAAACAATCTGCTGGGTAGGAAAAAAGTAGTTGTGAGAGTAATGTGAATGACGCAGACACAGCAAGGGGAATAAAAGCTCTATCTCATAATAGTAAAGTATTTGGGTTTGTCTTTAAAAAAACCAAACACAACAATTTCTCCGTCTCTCCTAATACCAAATTCCTACAGTTCCTTCTTAACATATTAATATGTTTGTGCTTTATACTTTATAAAACACTGGTACCATGTAAAAATACGGGTACTGAAAACCCTAAGACTAAGGAGTTTTATTTTAGCTGTAAAATAAAAAGAATAGGTTTTAACTACTCTAGCAATTACTCTTACTCGTCTTATTCCCCCTGTTGCTAAGTCTCAACTTCTGTTGCAAGTCTGGTGACAGTATTTTCCTTAATCCCTGGATGTATGGGATTAGTAGAAAATCTTTGTTCCCATTAAATATGGTTCTCTTTGTTGCAGAGATTGCTTAGAAGTATGAATGAATCACACTGACATGTCAAAATGGTCATTTTGCATTTCAGTTGCTTCTGGGGATTCTCCAGTTTGGATTCATCGTTATTTATCTATCACAATCATTAATCAGCGGTTTCACGACTGCTGCAGCTATCCATGTTGTGGTATCTCAGCTGAAATTCATGCTTCAACTACCTGTCCCTGGATTTAATAAACCATTTGGCATCATCTATGTAAGTGCTAAGTGTTTGTTATTTCATAATGCTATTGAACCCTGTGATGTATATCTGACCCTATGTCTCAAGGCTGTAATAACAGAACTCATCATAAAAACAGCCAAGCAGGAAGAAACACAAGAGAAAAATATGAGATGTGTTATTAGTATATGACCAATCTTTAAATTTATTACCAAACACCAAGTTACACCCCGTTGAGCTAATTAGATACTTTCCATTGTGCGTTGGCATATTTTAATTAAGTGTTTAACTTTGCCTCAAGCATCTGATTATTCATTTTTACTGGACTGATATTCTATATAATTAATTTGGATATGACTCTGTGAGGGCTGGTGGATGAAAAAGGAGGAAAGGGGAAGGACAGGAAGAAGCAGCGGAGAGAGGCACCTGCTCAGTAATTCCCACCGCTCACGCTTCCTATCGCACACGTGCGTGTCGCTCAGTGGGAGGCCAGGAGGAGAGGGTCAAGAGCCAGTGGAAAGCATCTTTCACGGATGCTTTTGTTGTTTGGACGATGCGCGTACACAGTCACCGGGGCTTGCAACCCACATCATGCCACAGGGAATAAATCCCAACCACCATAACCCTCAGAGCAATACAGGTACAGGCCCTTCTGGAAAGGACAGTGCTACTGTGCCAGGACGTTACTATTTCTAAAGCCCCACGCATTTCCTCCTCTTTTTGCAGACTCTGGAGAGCGTTTTCAGCCAGATCACAAACACAAACATCGCTGACCTTGTCACATCCCTTGTTGTCTTGCTTGTCGTCTTCGTGGTGAAAGAAATGAACGATCGATACAAAGCAAAGTTACCAACTCCCATCCCAATCGAACTCCTTGTGGTAACAGTCACTTCTCCCTGATTTTGCAATTGCTCCATCGCTACGGTGACACGGGAAGCAGCCTTTTAACTATTGCTTCTCCTGTTCTGTGTTAAACAATGGGTTGTCATTCTACCTGTAAGGAAAAATTGACAGCGTTCATGACCTATTGCGAGGTGTTTTAGCTCTACTTAGCTGTTCTTAACCTAATACACCTGTAGTGAGTAAAACGTTTTAAAACTTGATTTTTTTTTCCCTTGGATGAAATCAGCTGCCTGCCTCTGACGCCAGCCAGCCACAGTCCCACAGCTGGGGCCCCTCCGCACCACACCTGCAAACAGCCACCGAAGCCTTGGCCACCCATGGCCGAGCACAAAACTGTTTTGCCCACCAGCAGCAGAGGGTTTTGATCCCCAAGCTGCAGCGGGGTGGGGGAAGCCTCACACAGGCAACGAGCTCCTAAAGTCCTGGAAGGTGTTGCTGTAGACGCAAGCGGTGCTTGTTTTCCCCCAGAGTTATTACAGAACCTTTTTAGAAAACACCTGCTTTATTGGGTGGGATGTTCTCTGTTGTTAATGAGATATTCTGATATATTCTCCGTATGATTTATGAACGTAAACCCATACCCGTAAGGTGTTTCAGGAATGACATCTGAACAGCAAAAGGGTGTGCAGACTTGGAGCATAATTCTGCCGCTACATGATGAGACTGGAGGGCTTGTGGGAGAGGGAGAGAAATGGTTTTTAATAGTTTTGTCATACTCTTACTTGAATGTGCCTAATGGAGGTGTGGTTTATTATCTTTCAGACAGTCTTAGCAGCACTGATTTCCTATTTTGTTAACTTCGAAGAAAAATTTAAGGTAGCTGTCGTTGGAAAACTAGAGGAAGGGTAAGTGATTTGCTTAAAAGTTACCAGTGGAGCAAAATGTTCTTTCTAGTTTGTCAGTGCTAAATCAGTTCAGCTCTGCTTTTTGCTTAGAATAATCTCCTTCATCTTCTTTTGGTAGGTAAACAAACATTTTGCTCCCAACAATATGAGCACACGCTTTCAATAGGTAAAAGTTACTCACTAGAGCACATCTCCTACACAACAAAGAATACACCGTGACATGAAATAATTGCATGCTTCATTTGCCAAGACAGCTGTTGAGCAGGAGGTTGATGTTTGTCCCTTTTACTGAGCTATTTACTCCTGAACTCCTCCATCTCCCTCGAAGAACACGCATGGTTC